TAATAAGGTGAAGCAATGGTTGAATGAAATCGACCGATATGCTAGTGACAATGTTAATAAGCTTCTTGTTGGAAACAAGAGCGATCTCACATCACAGAAAGTTGTTTCAACCGAGACAGCCAAGGTAAGTCAGAGTGCTTGATTCAGTCTGGAATCAGATTTCTTGCCCGAATAAGTAATTTCTTATTTTCTATGGAGCTGATACTGAAGAGCTCTTAGTATATAGTGATAAACATGAATATCATTGTTTTTTTAACTTTAGGCACTTGCTGATGAAATCGGGATACCTTTTCTGGAAACTACTGCAAAAGATGCCACTAACGTTGAGCAGGCATTCATGGCTATGTCTGCAGCTATCAAGAACAGGTAAAAATCACTATCATGGCATGCATAAATTAATGACCTTAGAAGTAGTTTTTGTTGTGCAAATACAAATAAAATATATATAGAAATAATAAATTGCTTGATACTGAAACTTGGGACTCGCACAAATGCTAGGGATTGTCAAATTGGACTGTCTCATGAAAAATCCGATAAGTTTAAGCCCGCCTCGTGGGTGCAACTTATTATTAACCGGTTTGTGATATATAAACCTCTTTTATCTAAAAGTGGGATTTTTTTGGTGTCAGGATGGTGAGCCAGCCAGGGATGAATAATGGCCGACCTCCGACTGTACAGATCAGAGGACAGCCTGTGAATCAAAGTTCCGGCTGCTGCTCAAGCTGAAGTTGAAGCTGATGTTTGGTTCTCTTCTGCTCTTCCTCATGCAAATAGGGCAATATAACCACTGGTGAAATCGGTGGTGTTGTTTTTTTTTCGTATCTTCAGGACACCATACGGGCTAATTTCATATGGTTCTAATCATATTTTTTATGAAAATGAACATAAACGGGCTAATTTCATATGGTTCTAATCAAATTTTTTTAAGAAAATGAATTTTTATGTTCGGTTGTTTCAAGCACTTGACTGATATGCAAGTGTTCTCGGATAATTTTATAGAACTGAATTTCCAGGATGCAGGTTTCAATCGGCATATCATGCGCGGCTGATTTAGATACTCGACAAAAGTGAACTAATCCAAGTTCATGTTAAGCTATAGAATAAAGGGTGTTGGAATTTGTAAAATTATGCCCTAATAGAAAGTATTTTATGCAGCATGGAAAATAAATTTAGCAATGCATCAGGGGAATAAAAATCATTCACAGATTTTAACAACGATAAAGTTCACACTATCAACTACTCACTTGCCAAATAAACACAAGCAACTATAACGAAAGAGAAAACATGAATTTTACGTTGGAACAAAATTGTTATGAAATTAACTCCACGACAGAATTGATCCGATCCGATCGACCCGAATTGAACATGTAAAGTAAAACAAAGAAACAGAAAATGAGTGGGAGAGAGAGGGAGCAAGATAAAGGACCCGGATAACCTAGATGATGTGCTGGAAAGAGACTTCATTCATGCATGTCAAAGTATATCATGAAGCACCAAGAGACCAAAAACTCTTGGGATACATCTAAATTTACACTCTGAGACTTCTATTAAAGTTTTAAAAGATCTTGAAATGCAGACTTCTCACAAAAACACCAATAGTGCCTCACCAACCAAATGGGCACAACAAGGCTTGTAACTCAGGCCCATTTGGCTGGTGGGCTTATGCACCCCTCATTTGCCACCGAGCAAAGGGAACTGTCCAACATCTTCAATAGCTGGGGCCCGCAAGCCGTGATCATTGCCAACACTTCCTCTGCCACCACGGCCACGTCCCCGTCCTCGCCCGCCTCTGTAATAATTCTCCCCATTTGCAGGCTTCAGAAACTCGTTTATGCTCACAGACTATCACAAAACAAAGTAACCTTAGTATTCAGAACTGTCCAAAACTCGAATAACGAACAGAATGAACAAGAAAACGGATAAAGTAAGATATTTTTAACGGGTCTGAAGTTCAAATTCAGATATTCTTCACGAGCACCATCCAAGAAGGGACTTCATGTCTGTATTTGACTTTTCAAACGAGGACTGACAGTTTTAAACCATTTGCTAAGATCCATAAGTAAAGCTATGAGTAGCATCCAGGTGAAGGAGAGAAGTGCATGTTACATGATAATAAATTCGTTTTGGATTATATACTAAATAGGATTATATATCTTAGTTTAGAGAAAAGATAGCCTCATCAAGCTCAAGGTTTTGAAAAAATGCACATTAAACATCTACAGATTCAGTAATTGGCACGAAAATGGTGTAAGATGGGAAACTTTTTAACACATTCTGCAAATCCACTAGTGTAGAAAGTTGATTGTGCAGCACGTCATAAAAGGATATGAGCACGGCAAACTTTTCAACATAATTCTTTTGGTTAAAAAGGAATTCTCTAAAATTTTCTCTATGTTATCCCCTCCAGCCGTCAACACTCCTGTTCATTTGTCGAAGCTATGGTAATTGATAGCTAACCACCATGAGAAATGCAAATACGCCCAACAGCTCGTGAATTAATGAAAATTACATGTTAAATATTACAACTACCAAATAATGCTTTGCTTGTTGAATTATTTCAAAGGCCCTGTATGTCAATTTCAGCTATTGTTATGATATAAGCATAATGATTTTAGACTAAGGACAAAGATTTACCTTTTTCGCCTTCTCAGCTGCCTCTTTGCGCTTATCCTTATCAGATCCCTGTTCAGTTATTCACAATTTCAGCACAATATACACATTAACCAGCTACATATCTATGATATACTATCGGCATTGAGTAATTGACCAGTTTTACTCACCAATTTAATAAACACTTCATCATCATTCTTCTTGTTGGATAGAAGTTGCATTGATTCAAGCTCTTTGTCCAAGTGGACCTTTCTTTCCTCAGCTTTCAGAGCAACTAAAGCCTTTCTTTTCTCTTCAAGTACCTTCTCATACTCCTCCAATGTCATCTCCTGCGAATATACACACAGATATGATTAAGGTTTCATCTGTGAAATACGCTGAACAGGACTTCTAGAAACAATTAGAAAAGTTACAAAAAACAGCATTGCTATTTGCTATATTTACTACAATTATACCTTCTCCTCGGGCTCGGCTTCTTCCTGTTCATTAGTAGGAGCATCCTTGTTAGCATCACCAGCATCTTCTTGCCCTGGTTCCTTTTCAGACTCGACATTCTTCACTTCATTTATAGGTTCCTCAGTTTCCCTAAAATTCAAAATTTGGTGAAAAAAAAAACAGATTAACAAGCATTATACAAACAATGCAACAAGCAACATATACAAGAGAACAGATTCAATCTTTACGGAATAATCTCATCAGTGGGCGTCCCCCAATTTCCACGCCCAGAACCGTCGCGTTTGTACTCATTCCTGCAGGTTCATCAGTGAAGAGTAAACAAGACGGCAATAACATACACACAAATATGTGCGAGTGAGTTCATTATTAAAAGCAAAAGGTGAGGAAAAAGACATGAAGTACAATGAATTAAGGGCTTGCTTGTTTATTAATTTACTAACAAACAATATAATCTCAACTTAAAATCTAACTCAACTTTAACTCAAACCCCACTATTCTCAATATAATTAAGTAGTATCAATCAATCATCATTACACATCACATCAACTTTAATTCACTCCACTAACATAATTTTAAACCCCTACTATCACATCCCATAATCTCTCTACTACTTTTATATCAAATCAATTTAAGCATTTTAATTTAAATATTATTTTAATATCCCACTAAAAACTAACCAAACCAACTTTTACCAAATTAACCATGATTAACCAAAAAAATCAATAAAAATTTAATTTATTTGTATACAACCATAAGCCACAACTCACCCGCGCCCAGTTCCACTGCGACGCTCGTACAATCTCCGGCCATAAGCAGTTTCCTCATTATTAAAACCACCACGACGACCACCACGGAAGCCCCCGCGGGGTCCACCATAAGGACGCCTTTCAGAAGGAGCCTTTCCACCATCTCCATCCTCAGAAGGCTTACTGTAGCCACCGGAAAAGCCATTGTTGTTTCCAAATGCATTCTCACTATCAAATGGTTCTCGGTTGTACCCACGGCCGCCACCACGGCCACCACCACGGCCAAAGCCACCACGGCCTCCACGAGTGCCTTCGTTCCTCAACTCTCTCACTGAAAAACATTAAATAATCATGAATACAGAACAAGAGGCAGAAAGCAAAAAACTCATTCCTTCAAGAAACAAAAAAATGTAACGCTCGGCTTTATGGGGAAGATGATATTGGAGATACAGTTGCAAGGAATAGATAAATGAAATCAAGTAACCACACACCAGGAAAATAAAATGTAATGATTGACTTTATAGGATAGACATAAGACATGAATGATAATCATGCAGAAACAAAAGTTCTTAGCAATTGAACACCCTATCATCAGCTACTCAAAGTTTACCATTCCAAAACAGTTATATGGGCTACTAATAAAATGTAACAACAAAAAAACAATATCAAGGAGTAACATGGAAACGAGCAATAATAAGAAGACAAGAATGAACGAACTAACAATCGTTACCAGTGAATATCTCTACAATACAAAAACCACCATTCGACGCGAACTAAAACAAATACCACCTACAGTTAATTACTACATTACAAAAAAAAATAAAGAACAACAAGAAAATAAAGCTACCCAACACGTTTTCTCACCAGCCTGCGCCGGAGGAGCTGGCTTAGTTGGCAGCTTAGCCTCGGGTTTCACCTTAGCTGGATCTTTCTTGGACTGTGCAGGCGCCGGCGCCGGCGCCGGCGCCGGAGCTTTCTTCTGGGCAGCAAGAAGCAGCGATGGGTCTTCAGCGTCGTCATCACCCAGAAGCCCAAAAGGGTTTAAAGTGGCCATCTCCTCAAATTCAAAGACTAACAAGGTGAGCCAAAATCAGAACACAAGGATCTAAAGGTTGAGATTCAGATGAAAAAGGTATTGAGAACTAGTTGCAGGAAGCCATTAAAATGGAAAACAATGGAGAAAAATGTGCTTTGGGGGCTGAATGAAAGTGAGTGCGGCAAAGTGAGAGAGAATGGGAAGTGAAGTCAGCCGATAACCTAATCTGGATAAAACCCTAGGGCGGATGGGGACTGTGTGGGGGATGGTGCATTGTATGTTACTATGGACCTGCAGTTAAAATTTTGTACTGCACTTGCCACACGTGGGGCCCGGTGAAGATAGAGTATTTCTAGGCTGCTTGCATGTTTGGGCTTTGAAAAGCCCATTTTCTAAGCCGTACTCCGGATTGGGCTCCCAATCTGACACAATGGACTGCAAACAATCTATGTAGCTTATCCACGTACTCAACAAAAACTTGGGACATGTGTGTTTATTAATAAATAATTTGCTCATGTTTATTTTATACTTAAAAGTTAATTTAATTTTAACTCGATTTTACTATCTTTAATATTATTTATATAATTAAATCATATAAATTAATTATTCTTACATACCATATCAACTTTATTAACTATTCATCCACTAACATAATTTTAACTACCTATTATTTCCAATCATTTATCTTCTACTATAACATCAGATCAATTATAATTATTTTATTTTAAATATTATTTGAATACATTCTTAAAATACTACTAACAACTAATCATACCACAATTTTTAAAATTAACTCTGGTTAACAAAAAAACCATTTTGAATGGATTATTTGAAGTCCCCTCATAGTTAGGGTTTTTTTCTCTCTCTTGGAGATTCCCAGTTCCTCTGGTAGGATTTGGTTTTGATGCTCAGCATCTTGTTCCTGTTATTGTCATTTGTTTTGCTCTGGTTCTATTGGTTCGTGTAGGGTTTGTTTTGTGGTCCAGTTTCCTTGCTTTTGCTATTTTCTCTTTGCATCACTCGTGAGTGCCTGATCTGTTATCTAGGTTTTGTTTTTGCCTTTTTTGTTTTTCTAACCTTTTCAGGGTCGAAGTTGGGGTTCTTATGGACGAGGACGTGGTCGATAAGTTAGGGAAGTTCGCCCTTTTTGATCGAGAAGTTCATGGGGTCACTTTATCGGATGATGATGTAGCTACTGGAATTCACGACTGTAAGCTAAGTCTGATTGGTAAGCTATATGGAGACAAGAAAGTGAATTTCGGTGGTTTTAAAGCGACTATTGACGGAATCTGGAGTACCAGTCAACCTTTCTCTATAAGGAACCTTGGCCAAAACACGTTCCAGATTATCTTTCAGAACCAGGAGGATAAGGAGAAGATCTTGAGAGGAAAAACCTGGAACTTTGATGGGCAGTACCTGATTATAAAGCAATGGGATCCTGCCAATACGGTGTTCAAGAAAGAGGAGGAAAAGATCAAAATGTGGGTCCAGATTCTAAATTTGCCTCTTCACTGGATCTCAGAAGAAACTGGCTACAAAATTGGTAAGCTATTTGGTAAAGCTTTTGATGTTGTTGTTCCTAGCACAAATAGTTCCAATGGTAGGATGATGAAGATGCTAGTGGGACATAACTTGCATGAACCTTTGCTCAGAGGGTCATATATCAGTTTGGGAATGGAGAATAAATGGGTTGAATTTAAATATGAAAGTTTGCAAGTGTTCTGCTTTTATTGTGGAAGAATAGGACACAGTGAGAGGAATTGTATCAGGAAAAAAGAAGATGCTGACAATAATAAGATTAATCTAGGGCAATTTGGTGACTGGCTTAGAGCCCCTGTTAATTCTGTTTATGAAACTAGGTTATTTAAACCTAACTCATCTGAGAGTCATAAGTCTGAGGATAAAATCCCTAGTAGTCCTTCAATGGATAAAGGGGAGAGTGCGGGTGAAAGGAAAACAGCAGGTTCTGCAGCAAATCTGTCTGGTATCCCTGTTGAATCTAAGGTGAGAGTGGAGGATGTTTTGGAGACCCCTCCACTGAACCCCCTAAAGGCTACCCAACTTGAAGGGGTAGCTAGAAAAGAGCTAACCCAAACTCAGACTGAAACTGCATTGCTGAATACTGACAACCTCATAGATGTTGACTCTGAAACATCTCAATCTAAAACTGTTTCAAACAAAATGGTAAGAGGTTTTGTCAGGAAAACTAGAGCCAGTAACAGTCTGAGAATTGAGGATATGCAAGTTGATAGTATTTTACCTAAAAATTCTATTTCTATGAATGATAAGACCCTGAAAAGAAGTTTTGAGTTATCTGAGGAGGGGTTAGTTGATGTTAATATAGCTCCTTTTAAAAAGAACAAAACTGAGGAAACTTGTACTGTGGTGGAGAAGGCCAGCCCCAAATGGCCCCAACCCCCCCCAATGAAGGTATGTGTGTGGAATTGTAGAGGTATGGGAGGACCCTCTACAGTTTCCCAAATCAAAAAGATCCTAAGATCTTACCTCCCAAATTTTCTTTTTCTCTCTGAAACCAAAAAAAAAATGTCTTTTGTTAAAACTGTGTGTGTTAAGTTAAAGCTAGATAATAGATGGATGTGTATTGACCCTGAAGGTACTAGGGGAGGCTTGTTTTTGCATTGGTCCACTTGTTAGAGGTATGCTGTAAAAGCTCCTATTTACAGATTCTATCAATTCCA